GGGCGCTGCATGCCGCTTTTATCTGTCGCGCCTTTTGTAGGCGCCGCAGGAGCACTACGCTGGGAACGATGCCAAATTGAGGGATATGTATAGCTGAGCAGAGTCCAGTCTATGCCTCATCAAGCTTCGTCTTTTTGATTATTTCGGGTTACCACTCGGCCTCGATTCCAGCAGCTCCCGCAGGAGGGGATATTCCTGTTTGGAAGTTGAGCTTTTCTTCGTTCTTGTGTGCTGGACACGCTTAAGCGCAGGGAAGTATCTCGTGTTGGTAGGCGAACAAGGTTGCGGGAGTGGAGCTGGGGTCGCGCTGTTCCATTCGTGGATGTGGGCTTCTAACGGCGCAGTGTGGAAGAACCTAGACTTCTTTTATTCAGATTAAGCCAGTCAGCATCGGCAGCACAGGGGTCCGCGGCTCGCCCCGTGTTTATATCCTTTTACCCTCATTTATCCGCAGTAGTTTAGGAGTTTAGTGATTTAGTATCTGTTATGTAGTTGTAATTGTTATGTATTTGTGTCTGTTATTTGTTTCATAAACTCACTTAATCTAGACGCGCGTTATGTTCTGATTTGTGGGGTTGGTGATCCCGTCGAGTGGACGCGCGTAAGGGCCCGTCTGTCGTGCATACAGGTTCTCCAAGGGCTGGGATTGATCGTGTACGGCAGTCAAACGAGGCTTGAGGGTGCTGATTGTGAGCTCGTCGAGCCGCAACACAGGCATCCAAGGTTGTCAGCAACTGATAATAGGGGTAGATTCAGCTATCCAAAAAACAGTGAAATAGACGAAACTATGAGACAAATCGAAATTTGACTCTATCTAAATTTGAAGGAATCGCGGTACTCCAACACCGCTGAGGACGTGTTCTTGTTGTTGAAAATGTATTCATTATTTAATGGGGGGTTGAGTATCTCATATTATCTTGAAGCTTCTCTGAGCATCTATCCATAGCTTAGCATCTAACCATAGCTATCCTAATCTCCAAATTGCTTTTTGTTCATGATTTGGCAGCATCGAGATGAGATAAGCATAGTGTAATCGGAACGGTAAGAGCTTAACTTGCTGTGGAATTCACATCATTATTACAGTCATGTTTTCGCATTCCAGCAAAATTTAAGGAGAACTTAGTCTTCACGTCTCTCGTTCACCTCTTCCTTCGCACTTCCCCATTTAGCCCACGAGCCATCTTTAGCACGTGAGTACGCATCAATCAAAAAATAATTTCGAACGAGAGGAGTCGGAGAAATTGTGGGAAGTGTTTCTATCAAAGTATTAGACGTTTTAAAAGCTCAACCCATTCATGTTTGTTCCATTACAATCTTTCTTACAATCAAAAGTGATCATTGAGAGTGTCATAAACTTTAGCTTACATTTTCATCACTTTTATTCATACTCAAAAATTTTTGCAGCAAGTAAAGAATTTCAGGTCGTAAGTTGCCAAACATTTAATTTCAATCCCTACTTTGAAAAACCATGATTTGTTTTGAAATATGGTAGTTCAAGTACAGCTTATGGTGCAGTCAGTAGCCGGTGAGCAGTAATGCTAGCCTCGACTTTCAGTGAAATAATTTACAATTTTTGCAAAAAAAAATCCAGATCACCTTATTACAGGGTGCGGCAAAAGTTTGGGAGCCTAGTACTTTTTCGTACAAAACGAGAAGGGAAGTACCTAGAGACAAAAAATTTGGCGCACACATAATTCGAACCATTGCAGATACAGCCCAGTTCTTGAATTGCAGAAGTGCCTCTTTTGGCTTCCACGCAGCCCTACAAAATCTTGGCAAGTCCACCTGTCATGGCACGCAGGTAGTCGCAATGGAATTCGCCCCACGTCTTCACAATAACTGCTTCTTTTACCTTGGCAAATGTGCAGCGCGATAGAGCAAGCTTTTATCTACAACATGCTTCCAAAAGAATTTTTTGCATTGCTTAGGAATAAAAATATTGGATTTTCAATTAGAAGCATGAGTACGTCGCATACCGGAGTCTTGGCTACAATTGCGCGAATAAAAACTCAAAATTATCGTTTAAAAAGTATAAAAAGTGTTCCCATGGCCGAATTCCAATAGATTCTAATTTAGAAGACGTATGCAAAAAAATACAGCCTTGGTCCCAGTGCCTGTTGAGCATTCTATAGCTTTTAAATTTGTTCTAAAGACGGATTTCCACTGGCACATAGGTAACATTCGCAAACTTTTATTTTCCGTTCATGCAAGAACAGCTCCTGGCAAAAGCAAAACTAGGATACAATAGCGCAAAGCCTCTTCTATGTTGTGTGCATCGAAGTTTTGTAAAATATTAACAGCATCTTTAGCTACAGCAAAAATTGTAAATACTAAAAATTCTGGTTTTTTCGCTTTGCAAAAGTACTAGTTTGGTAATTTCCATTCTTACAAAAACATATGGCAGCCATTTCCAGCCAAATAAAGTGTATTCTGTAGAGAATGATCGCAGCATCATGTGGCATAAAATTGAAATCAAAACCATCAGTATCTTTGTAATTGCAGTACTGCAAAATTAGGCTCCCAGACTTTTGCCGCACCCTGTACTTCGCTCCCTCTAGGGTCTCAAATGTGCCGCTTTTCAGTCTTGTTCTTCGCTGACAAATTAGTAATTTCCTTCATTTTCTAGTATCTAGTGTTCTAGGCCCACTCTCACTATAAAGGGCGGAATTTTTGTGACTGCACCAAGCTTATGATTTTCATTTAACTTCAGAGTCCACATTGACAGGGCTTATGCTATCAATTTAGAGATTCAAAAGGCATTCAAACTTATACAGGGTGTCCCAAAAAAATGTATCGAACGTTTGATCGTTGATATCTCTCTTCTGAAGAAGTCTTTTCCCTTGCTTCAGGCACCAATCTGTAGAGCTGGTTTCAACTTAGATTTGCATTATGGAACGAACCACTCATCTCTCTTCGTTACTGTGGGATTACGGTAGAAATTTCAGAGGGGGTTTTAAGCAATAAAAGGCCATATTTTGCTTCAGAAAGGAAACAAAATAGTCTCAAAACTTTTACGCTGGGCTAATTAGAGTTGCTGATTATAACTGTAAAGCTCCCAACTTATTATGATGCTTCATTGAAGAGTTATGAAAGGTAAGAGGTAGCGGCCATTTTTTCAATGTTCCTAAAAAGTGCGGTTACACCGTTTAGAAGGCTTCTAATGTCGTGAACAGTTGAGCATTAAACTAAGCGTCCATAAAAACCCTAAGAGCGTCCTAAAACCCCTACACAAGTTTTCACATTTTTTTGAAAAATTTTGAAACGGCAGCTTTTTCCACATTGACACCATATGTTTCAAGTTTCTACCGTAATCCTACATTAATGAAGAGAGATGGGTGATTCGTTCTATACTGCAAATCTAAGCTGAAGCCAGCTCTACAAAACGGTGCTTGAAGCAAGGCAAAAGACTTCTTGGAAAGAGAGATATTAACGAGCAAACGTTCGATACATTTTTTGGGACACCCTGTATTTGTGAGCCTTTTGTAGCATAATTCTCCAGCCAGCATTACATGGGTTTTGAGAGAAACTTCACGGCAATAAAGCGAAAACGGAAATCTCCTTATTCGTTTTGCTGCCTTCAAGGCACGGAACCACAGGAGAAAAGTCTTATGGAAACAGAATCGATCAGAAAAAAACTAGGAAAAGGAATTTCTATCGATATAAACATTATTCACAAAAATAAATTTTTCTCCAAAACTAGCCAGTTCATTGCAAAAAATGTGGACAAGAGCCACATTTCGCTGATTCCACATCGTTACTATTTCTATGTTTAGGTAAATTACTTCATTAAATTATTAATACATAATGTGGTTATGTGCAAGCTAACCATATGCTATACAGTGTTATTGTTATTAGTTTATCAGAAGTATATGTGTAGGTAAGTAATTTACATTACTTTTATAAATTTGATATAACAAACATATACAATCATGTATGATATCTTCTTACTTACACAATTACTTCAAATTTTATCATCCAAAAATCCATATACATACTTAATACTCCTAAAAAACTAACTTCTCAGTGTTAAAAATAAGTTTGTCGACCTTCTTTCTTTACTGAAGAGTTCCGAGGAAGGTCTGTAGGTACTTTTACTCCGTCTAAGGGCAGGAACGAAACGGAGATTCTGGTTATTCACACATCACATGAAAAATCTTTACTTCTTATTATTAATGATATTCTGCTATGCAACCCAAATTGAAGTTTCTTGACTCCCTCTCGAAAATATGTAGGCTTAGCCGCTGTTCAAATTCGCAAAGAATCTGGAAAGTTGTGTGACATGATTTCCATGCTGATTTCACCGCACGTTTTCAATGGCCTTATTGATATTGGTAAACACCATGTTAAAAACCCCCACTATGCGAAGCTTTGAGCAAATTCGCATTTTCAATCATCTACAGTAAACCCACCGAGTCCGAAAAAATGACGCTAGCTTGCGGAGTGAATATGCAGTTACAGAGCGTCACTTGTAGATAACATTATAGCTCATCGAATATGAAATATGACCTACAAAAACGATTGATTGTGATGCACCGTTGATGTAAACCTTAGGTTTTCATTTCAATGGAAATGTAACAACGTCTCTGCATGTACACAATATTATTAGGTCGTTTCATAGTAAGTCCGTAGAATTTTTATTTTCGTCGTCGATTTTTGAAGAGGTGCTTGGTTTACCGCAAACTACCTATGCCATAAAGGAGAACAAAGTTTGCTCAAACGCTTCACCGAGCAAAATTTGCTTTTACACACTGTCATTTGTAGAATAATTGCGTACTAAGATTTTCCATACAGTATTTTTTACCATACTTGCTGCACCATCGCGAGCTTGTGATGCTTCTACTCATATGTTATTCTTCTACTGAACCCCTCCAAGGACAATATCAAGCCGCAGCGAATCCTTCTTATGAGCTACAATACCTGTGTGCAACTAGGGCACAGGAGAAATAGTGTTTCATCGTCAAATTTTTTAGACAAAGTAACAAAGATGTTAAATTTTTTAATGGCTAGTTTGATTCGCAAACTATTTGGTTGTTCAAAATCTCTGCTTCCATCCTCCTTTAGATTGGTCGAAGAAAGGATCTATTTTTGGGTAAGGGTACGTCAAGGGAAGACTCTCCCGGAATGGCCAGTATTTCGAGCATACTTGCGCGAGGAAGGCGACTAGAACCTGAAAGGGAGATGCTGAAGTTGTTGTTAAGAGCTTGTGAAGAAAAAAATATTGAACATTGAATCACCACGATAGCTTTCCAAAACATCTTTGATGCTAGCAATTCTTGTTAGAACGTTGCCTGAAATAATGCTTATACTTATCGATGTGGTCATGATAACGATTGAGACATAAAATTTGATGAGAAATGCACACCAGAGTGTGAACATGAAGACGAAAGCAAATGTACAAAACGGGTTTTAATAGCAGAATCTTTGGTTATCAAATTCAACACAAAGAGATCGCGGGGCGCCTTGCGATCACATATAGCAACAACTTTGCATTTGTTATTCATATATGCCGCTTTGAAATACGAAACGAACAAACTTTCAAAAAGCCGATTAACATTTTCGAAATGTTCTTTTGCAAGCACAGTCACAGCACAGTATTACTTACATTGCATATTAAAGACATGTTCCATTTTTATTCGCTCGCATTATATTATACAGGGTGTCCCAAAAAGATGTGCACACTGTTTAATTGTAAATAACTCTTTTGTGATGAAGTGTTTCGGGAAGCTTTAGGTACCATTTTGTAGAGCGAGGTTCAACTTAGATTTACAGTGTAGAGCGGATCGCCGATCTCTCATTTTTACTGTAGGATTACGGTAGAAACTTTGAAGAGGGTTTTGAGCCATGAAAGGCCATATTTTGTTCCAAAAAGAAATCAAAACAACCTGAAAACTCTCACACAGGGCTATCTAGAGTTGCTGATTCTAAATGTGAAGTTCGCAACTCTTTCTAATACTTCATTAAAAAATTATGCGAGGTAAGCAGTAGCAGACGTTTTTTGAGTGTTCCTAAAAAGTGCGGTTACACCGTTTAGAAAGCTTCTCAACCTTGTAAAGAGTTGGGTATTGAACTCAGGGTCCATAAAAACCCTATTACACAAATTTCCACATTTTTTTGAAAATTTTTGAAACGGCCTCTTTTTTCACAGTGAACCATATGTTTGAAGTTTTTACCGTACTCCTACAGTAAGAATGAATGACCGGCGGTTCGCTCTACACTCTAAATCTAAGTTGAACCTCGCTCTACAAAATGGTACCAAATTTGTCTCGAAACACTTCACTACAAGAGAGTTATTTACAATCAAACAATGTGCACATCTTTTTGGGACACCCTGTAGAATGAAATTGTTCCATTGTCCTTATTCTGTAGTTGAATACATAGGTTATTCCAAAAAATATGCTGTTTGTTTATTGATAACTCTTTCGTCATGATGCCTTTCGAAAAGCTTTGTAGAGCTGACTTTAACTGTTTTATAGTATAGAGCGAATCACGATCGCTCTTCGTTACTGTAGTATTATAAGAACTTGAAGCATATGACATCAGTGTGAAAAAAGCCGCCGTTTCAAGTAATTTCAAAAGATCCAAAACTTGTGCAGTAGAGTTTTCGTGGGCGCTGAATTTGATACTAACTTTGTGCAAGATTTCGATTGCAAGAGTACGGAGTTTTTTGAAGTAGCAATCACTTTTTAGGAACATCGAATAACGGCTGCCACTGCCTACCTGACATAACTTTCTGGGGAAGCTCGGATGAGTGAAGGAAGCTGGGAAAATCCATATTTAGAATCAGAAACTCTAATTACCCTATGAAGTTTTTAGGCCATTTGTTTTCTTTCTGAGGACAATAGCTCTACATGCCCCAAAGAACATTCGGATAATGAATGTAGTTGAAACCGAACAATCGTATTTGAATTTTATTCGAATACTCGCATAGTCGAATAAATGGAAAAGGCCTGTAGTCGAATAGTTCGTTTCGTTTATTCGACGATATGGAAAAACCTATTTGAATAATCGATTATTCGAGGGGTTTTAAAAAAACAGTTATTCAAATGTTGGAAAAATCGAGGAAATTAAAAAGGCAATTATTCGATTATTCGAGTATGCAGAGGTTTCGAAAAACAGTTGTTCGAATATCCCATTTTTCGAATACTACACTCAGATATTCGAATATTGCTGAATATTCGAATATTCATTTATTCGAAGAGTCGAATATTCGATCAAGTTCAGTTATTTAAATACTCAAGAGTTCGGATTTCAAATGTGCTCATATCCGAATACAGTTTTCTAATACTACATTCTGGCTGATTTCAGCCGAAATACCCAAAGTTGAACTAGAAACATCCGCTTGGCATGAGCGCGTTTACAATAACTCCAAAAACTAAGGATATTTCAAATTGAATCTGGCATAAGCAAGTAAGTCAAGAAAAAACACTTAAATTGTTTTTATCCTACCTTCACGAGTACAGGACTCACCCGTTTCTTTTTCAAATGACCGGCGAACACACCAAACGTTTCGCATTGCTGCGTATCGCCTGAAAGTATGATGTGGCATAAGTTTCGTTTTCCGAACACAGCGAGGCGGTTGAGCGGCTCGCTTAGAAAATCGAAAAAGCGTCTTGTACTCATGAAATTAGGGTTTGAGATTTTGATAGCTGTTAATACTATGGTTTTGATAAAACCTATTTAAATAGCCTCAATTTATGGATCAAGAAAACATGTGCTAGTCAGATGTTGCTAATTTAGGGTATGCAGATTTTTTCGAAGTTTTTATTGCTTATAAAATATTTAATTATGTTTGATAGAATACGACAACTCTAATACGGAATATGATCGGTGAGTAATTTTTTGAAGAATTATTACGAATCTTTTAATTTTCAGTGCAAAACTTAGGGTCAACCAAACATTTTGAAATTAGACATTTCGCTAATTTGGTTTGCTTTTCGCAAAAAAAGAAAGAATCAAAGACTGAAAACACGCAATCAAATCTTCCTCATAACTTTCATTCATGAATTTTTTGCTGGAGGTGAGTATTGCATGCTTCGATAATGTTAGATTGTCCGAAAAACTCCTTTTTCTAATAATTCAAACTGGTTTTTCTCCTGGTAGACCTAAGGTACTTCGATAGAGCACCACCAAGGGGCCACCTAAGTCGCATTCCACGTAAATTTTAAGGCCAAAATCAAGAATTTTGTCACTTGAAAATTGGATTTTTGCGAGGAAAAACCCTACGTACTTCCAACTTGGCATTATACAAATAGTGGCACACAAATATGCTTTTACTGGATTTTTTTTTCGAGCATAGAAAGCGAGAGAAAAAAGACAGCCCAAAAATTGCAAACTCCGCCCCCAGACCTCCTACTTATGTCGTTGCATACTTTGAGTTTTACTAAGTATAATCTCTATACTTTATCCTTGTAAGTCCTTTATGACCGAGAAACAAGTTTTACATGAAAAACCTAAAAAGGTGGCAATATGGCATTTCGGGACCATCCTTGTTTCTTGAGCCCAGGAAAAATCCGCCAAATATTAGGTCGTTCCGAAAGTAATGTCGCTTTCTTTAATTGAACGCCACATTTCATGGAATCAAGATTTTCAAGAGATCTTAGGAGCATTCAATGCAGGCTTCAACTTAGATTTGCAGTATGGAGCGAATCACCCATATTTCTTCATTACTGTAGGATTACGGTAGAAACTTGAAACATATGGTCTCAATGTGGAAAAAGCTGCCGTCTCAAAATTTTTCAAAAAATGTGAAAACTTGTGCAATAGGGTTTTTATGGACGCTGAGTTCAACACTCAACTACTCACAAGATTGCGAAGGTTTCTAAACGGTGTAACCGCACTTTTTAGGAACATTGAAAAAATGGCCGCTACCTCTTATCCGGCATAACTCTTCAATGAAGCATCATAATAAGTCGGGAACTTCACAGTTCGAATCAGCAACTCTAATTAGCCTAGTCTAAAAGCTTACAAGCTGTTTTGTTTCCTTTCTGAGGCAAAATATGGCCTTTTATGGCTCAAAACCCTCTTTGAGGTTTCTACCGTAATCCTACAGTAATGAGGAGAGATAGGTGATTTGTTCTATACAGCAAATCTAAGTTGAAGCCAGCTCTACAAAACGGTACCTGAGGCAAGGCAAAAGGCTTGTTGGGAAGAAAGATATCAATGATACCCTGTACACCCTGTATATACAGGGGTATCCCAAAATTATGTATACACTGTTTGATCGCTGATATCTCTTTTCCCAAAAAGCCTTTTGCCTACCTCTAAGCACCATTTTATAGAGCTGGCCTCAACTTAGATTTACAGTTTTGAGCGAAGCGAATCACTGGTCGCTCTTCACTACTGTAGGATTACGGTAAAAATTCAAGAAGGGTTGTGAGCCATCAAAGGCCCTATTTCGCCTCAGGAAGCAAACCGAACAACCAGAGAATTTTTATTTTAGGTCAACTCAGGTCGCTAAAACGAAATATGATGTTTGCACTTTACCGCAATGCTTCCATAAATTGTGTCAGCTAGACCGCAGTTGCTGGTTTTACGTTTTTTCCATAAAATCGTGATTACACCGTTTTAAAAGCTTTGCAAACTCTAAAAAGTTGAATAATAAAGTCAGCGAACTTGAAAACCTTAGCACATTACTTTTCAGATTTTTTGGAAACTTTTTTTAAACACAGTAAATCCGTAATGACGCTCTGAGCTAAAAGTTCCTACCGTAATCTTACAGCAATAAAAGATTTGCTCCATACTGTGAATCCAAGTTGAAAACGCTCTACAAAATGATATGCAAAGGTGGGCAAAAGACTTTTTGGGAAAAGAGATATTAAGTTCAAACAATGTATACATACTTTTGGGACACCCTGTATAGAGCAGAAAATCTGAGTGCTGTGTGTTTGTGCACATTCCCCAGTCATGAAGGATGAGCGGTGAAGCTCATTTTGATCTGCTGGTCATCAAGACATGGTAAGGACGGAAAGCGAACCCAAGACGAATCTGAATCAAAAGAAGGGTGAGTTTCCTTGCATGAGAGGTCAAGCACGTTGGCCTGGCTCCGAACCGGAGTGAAGCTCGGGATGCCAGCTCGTTCGATTTAAACTGCCTTAACTCTGGCACAAGTTCAAGCTCGTGATGCTAACAGATTGGTATTGTCCCGGTTATCTAATATATGACTACAACACTTTTGTCAACGTTTCTAAGTGTTGAAATACGATCACCTAATCAACATTGGGCACCTTTCTTTGATAAGAGTAATTAACGAAACTTTACTAAGTCAGCGCCCAAGCAGAGTAAGCAATAATCACTC